CGTTTAGTCCGAAGGATTTCTGCTCGACTCCAGGACTAAACACCCACGGAGTTTTTCAAACATCGTCAGATTCCATATTTGATAAATCGTATGAATTACTAGAAATTATGGTTTACTGTGGAAATATTTTGCTTATTGCCTGCCATTTATCATTGGTGGAGTCGATCAAATTATTTTTGCAATGTTATTTTGTTTGAAAAAAGTACGTTTTAAAAATCCTGCTGCCCGCTCGTGCAAAACGCTCCTGAAATAGAAGTCCAAAAAGCCCCAGCAGAATTCCAGTGAATCGTCGGTCGGGGCTGCATCGAGAGCCCCTACAGGATAAGCGATCGAATTCGTCGAAATATGAGATTAATCTACCGAAATTTGTTCTATACTAGAAAATCTGGCAGTTCTTAGGACACCTAATTCACTGTTTGGTACTAAGGGGGCCTCTTGTAAGATAGCCTCTTCTCGGCCCCCTGATATGCACATTACATTAAGAAATTTGATATGTTAGGGATAGAGTCTATTTACAAAATAACACCTTTTAGAGGCACAACTATACTGGTATGTACAACCACTTACCTACCTTAAGTTCAACATGACCATTAATCTCACGCTTAGAATATCGATTTTATGCAGCTCACTTTTATTTCATATGTATGTATGTGGCAAATGAATATAAAATATTAGAAAACGTGGCTTGAAACAATATGCAAAACAACCTACAGACACTACTTACCCGGTTCGGGCATTATAAAGTCAGTCTGGTCGTCGTCATTTCCATCACCGTCGGCATCATCTGAAAGACAGTTCGGTGTTTCTGCGCTGCGAGAAGTCAGTCGCGGTTTTGCGCCTCCGTTGAGGTTAATGGTCGCTTTGTAGAATTTTTCTACCCACCCCCGACGTTTGAGGCCTTCTCGTATATGATGATAGGGACCAATGACCGCAAATATCTTGTTTTTCTGTTTTCGGAAGTTAAAACCACGTTACGGGTCACGGGAGTCATCGATCGGGAAATAGCTATCCGTGTCTAACATGTTAGTACATCAACAAACTTTCTATTTACACAGTATATGATCTACCTCTTGAATCGTGCTGATGGGAATTGAAATCATCCATTTTAAGTAACTTAAGTGTTGTGAATTTCACTTATTCGTTTAGCCCGATCCGGAAAATATGTTTTAAGCATGCGGAAGATGCCGCTTATTAAGCCAGTCAAAAAGTCCATAAATTTAAGCAGAAATCTGCGTCACCCTATATTCGGACAATTTCCTATATTAATAGCTGTCCTAGACTTTGCTTGCGTATCTGAGCTTATTTTTCTTTTAGAATAGAGCAATCTAACATCGAGAGTTTCACCAAACAGACCTGTTGCACTTGAAGATTGATTTTTCTCTTCGATTAACCCAGAGACGGCGGACAAAATGATTATTTAAAAAAACAAGACGTTTAATAGATTTTTGCATGTCGAATTTCCTATGCTGTGATTTTGTGTCCCAAAGTGCAGTCATAATAACAACAAGCAATTCTTTGTTTTAACGCGTTGATACTTTCTTGTAATTTGCGAATACCCAATAATCTGCCATGAAAAGACCCTCCGTCACTTGCAATTTTAACTTTTAAGCGATGAGGGGGACACAATGAGGAACAGAACATTTTGCATTTCCGTTATTCAGTAGCAAAAACATCGACGAACTATTTATCTAGACTTTTAATAGTAGTATGCTGGCAGCCCTATAAACCACTGTCGTATATTACGCAATGCTCCCAGCATACACCGAGAAAAGTTACTGATTCTGACCAACTGGCCTGTCTATTAAGATGTTCAGGGCACATTGTTCCACTTTGCTCGGTCCTCCTAGTCCAGTTTCGGGAACGCCACTGCCTATTATCTACTAAAGCAAGGTAAATTTATTGGAAAATTGTAAAGAGAACTTCAAGAGAAAATTTAGGTTCCCCTCAGTAGTTCGTTTCCTTGAGTACTTCTTAGCTTCCATCATAGATGTCTTTCCGAAAATTATACGCTGTTTTAAAGCCCTCGTTTCTTATCTGTCCGGAGTCGACAACGAGTGTCAATGGTGACAGAAACTCGTCTAACTTGTGGAAATCGGCTTTTTATACCAAGAGGTGTGCTAGGTCTTCGAACTTTGCTTTGCAATGCTTTTGGATGTGCCTTGATATTGACTTTTAGAGGAAACATGCGACAAAATCTTGTCTCCTGGATTAACTACGCTTTGAAGAGAAATTAATTGTGGTGTATTTCGCAAATAGTCCGTTGGTCAGTTTTAATAATTCCAAATGCATTGATTCACAGAAAATCAGAAGAGGTGCTCTGATTGTTATACGAATAACCCTTACATGAATTGTCCAGCATACCATTCAAATTGAAAGACTTTTGTTACACTGTATTTTTATTTGCTCTGACCTTGTCGCATGAGTGCAAAGCTGAGGTATATTCGAAGCGGGCGCGACAAGGCGCGGGTTCTGTAAGCCAATACTTGATTAAAATCCAGCCTAATTTTTCTTCGACATGACCTTAACCCATGCAAGCATTGTTCCAGGATCTGCCTTACCAGGAATTTAATACACACATTCAGCTTCCTATAATCTTAAGTCAATGTGTTTAAATCTTGTTCTAAAGAAGAATACCTTTATATAAAATGACAGGTTCTGCAATGGTGACTAGCGATTTTTGTGCAGGGGACGCGGTGGTTGACTAAGAAAGCGTTGAGTGTGGCAGAAGAAAACCTTCTTGAGCAAGCGCTTATTCTTACTTTTAGGCAATGTGCTCCATATGGTCATGTCGGCAGATGTCATACGTAACATGTGCCTGCCATCATTTAGAGTATATCGGTCTGCTCTGTCGTCACGGTTACTTCGGTGGGGCACGGCGAAAGGCACTTTGTTATCAGTGGCCGATGCTGAAGTAACTACCGGACACACAAATTTGATTTGTACACTGATTTCAAATACGGTCTAGACCCGAAGGGGGTAATCCGGTGAGAGAGCATGGTTGCTAAGGCTAGTTATGATTTCCGCTCTCATTTAGTGGACAATCAAACCACGATTGGCTCGATCTTTTTGTATTTTTGTCACTATTCTAGCCCTTGCTCGACCTTCCTGTCAACTATGGTTGCATATGCATAAACTGGTCGGATTATAGACAAGTTTTCCAACATAGTTGATATTCCCGATCGAAACCGACAGGACAGTGGAGTCGTGACTAAATCGCGGAGCACTAGGCCCAATGACCAGAGATCCCGTGTTGGAATCCTAGGTGCTCCAAGCCCCTAGTAGAGTGTGGGTGAGTGGTGATAAGTTGCAAGCCGGAGATGGCCATTCCAATCCCCCATTCCCTTCTAGATGCTCCTTTTGGCATAAATTGGTGGTCGCCATGCGACTGCTTTCGTGAACTCTAGGCTGAGCCTCAAATAACTACGAGACAAGCATGTCTCGCGGTCCGATTTGTGAACACAATTCAATTACGCAGATATACACATATACGTTAGAGGTGCGTTCGTAATCCTGTTGGATCTTCGGGCCAAGGTAAAGTACTCGCAGAGAGTCGCACAGCGTCCGATAATAAGTGTAGAAGGCGCTTTTCTTCTATATCTATGTCCTTTCCGTATTTTAAGTGCAGCGATATAACACAGTTTGGTTTTTAGTAGTGCAAACCATTGAATTTGTTCATATTATCCGAGGCCTTCAAAATATCTGATAAATTTATTCCATGGAATAAGCCCGCAGCTGTTGTTACACGGATACTTCTGTTTGTGAGAGTCACAGGTTGCATAAAGCGCAGTGCTAAGATGGTTTAACAGTGCGATTGCAAGGCATATTTTACTTCATTATTTTAAAATCAGACGGGAGGATACAATTGCTGTGGACCACACTAACCGAGTACTAAGTTCAAAATGGTAAATAAGCCTATACAACCTATTTGTTTGTCTTGATTTCCTTTCCCTAGCTCACTTGTATGAGCATAACCTTAGACGGCGCGACCCAAACCGTTACTGTACTCCCTGCGTAAGACCAGTACAGTGTTGCGACCAATTAAAGAGAAGCTGCCTATCCCATAAAAAGTCGCATGATAGGAGCTAGTTAAAATAAAGTTATAAAGAACTACTACTGGAACCTCACTGTCCAACAACAGAAATTATATTTTCAATGCAATGAATGGCTGAACGACCAATATTAGAGAACTGTAAAAGTTGACAGCAATGAACCGCTTGCTGATAATCTACTGGAGCTGAGGCAACTGAACGCAAACCAGTAGATTTTTTGTTACGCCATATGAGAGTTTGTGATTAAAAAAAGCATGACTAGTATTACTTGGTTATTCATCGATTTCCACTAGCTATGGGCTTGCTCCTTACAAGTATTCGCCATTAAACACAGTAAATACACATCTACTGACGATGTTGTTTACCTAATGCATTCACGTGAATCCTGCTTAAAGAATTCTGCTTACTTTAATTGCTTCCTCAACCCTTTCCTTGGCCTGCTTCACGATAATCGGACTGATGGCAGAAATATCGAAGTTACATTGTTTCTGTTGTCGGCTGGCGGCTGCTGAGGTGGCCGCTCCGGGTGCAACGCCATCCATGCCTTCAACACTGGTCGGGCGGGGCACGATTCCTCGTTGGTTGGGCTGACGTCTAGGGCTCCTCGATAGACTCCTCGACAGCGTTGTCCTCCGTAGTGCTAGTTCCTTGGACAAGCGCCGTCGCACAATAATCATATCCCGCATCTTGATGGACTGCAATGGCAGACCAGTGGTCGCTTTAGAGCTGTCTGGATCCATGTCTCTCAGAGTTAACTTTCGTTTGACGCAATCACCAGCCACATCTGTTCTCAAGGGAGCCCTCTCTGGTGTTTCAGTTACTGTCGGTTCTAGCTCTGGCTTTGCGATGGGAGGAAGTCTTTCACGGGAGCTGTTCTTCAAAGACTCCGGATAAGCAACACTAGAAGGTAGAAGAATGGGCGCGACAGCTTGATTTAGGACTTTCACGGGAATGCAGGAGGCGACAACCAAAAGTTGATTGACCTCGAGTAGCCCATCGACCTCATCATCCGAAGGTAGACAGTGAAGTAACGAGTTTGGGAGGCAGGAAACAAGAGGGTGTTTGAAGAACCTCTTCAGAAACTTCTCCTTGTTTTTTGCTTGAATGGGAAATGAATTTGTGAATCAGTGAAAAGAAATGAAAGGACAGTATGGTGGGCTGGTAAGACGAATAAAGTACGTTTTTCCTCCCCAGTAAAGCAGATGCTTTAACAATTTTGTAGGGCCTGTGGTATCTTGATGACACAAAAACTCCCATAACGAGCTGACTGGCTGACAGTGAGGCATGCGAACTCTAGTATAACCTCGAGATTTGTAGGTTAAGATGACCTATTTACTTGGAGTGACCAAAGAGATAGTAAAAGCGGAACTCAGACTTCTTTTTAAATACATGCAAAGATTCGCAATCACATAAGGTTACAAACGTTAAGCAGGTATAGTGTTTTGAAGGTCAAAATTGAAAAAAAATATTGTCTGATCGTGTTCAATAATAATAAACTGAAATGTCACCATCTGGCTTTTTCAGCCCTTGTTCCTTACTGGGTCTCACTCAGCTTACGTTCAGGCCGACATAAATATACGTCGACGTAGTAAAATTGAGGTTTTTGCCATACAAATGCAGTTGTTCTGTCCTCTTCGCCCTCAGTAGTAAGTAGTTGTAGCGTACAGTTTGTAAAAAGAGTATCGTGACAAAACTAAGCAGAAAACGTTTGTTATATTTTGACAGGATACAAAGCGCAAAAATAGACGTTTGCAAAATGTAACCCGTATAAAACCAACAAACCTAGTGTGAAACTTGTGTCTGTGCCTGTATATTAAGTCTATTAAATGTAACAGTGTCAATTGCCTTGAAGGAATAAACACCGAATTGGATCTAAACACAGATGCAAAACACTATATACCCTAGTGTTCTAAACGGTAGATGCATGAATTCTGCTTCTTACTCACTCCGCACGCATATAAGGCAATATAGGTGGACTACAGTTATGTAAAAACCCATAGTGCTTTATCTCCCATAGAAGTGCCACACAAAATGCAGTGGTAATTTGTCATCCATATGGCTTATAATTTGTCAAGCAATATTGTTGTAAAAACTTTAGCGGTGGACAGGGAGTTATCGCTACTGTATAGGTTTGTGGGTGTCTTTGCATGGAGTTTTAAGAATTCATTTACGACTAAGTGCCAAATCAACTTTTAACTAAAGGGTCTATGAAAGTTCATGTGAATTCTGTAGGTAGTACAGGCACCCAATGAAAAGGACATTTGAAATAATTAAGAGACAATAACCCCCAGAGTAGACATTATACAAGCTTGAAACAAGGTCTAATAGAGGCTACGCTTGGCAAAGAGCGGACAGCGGAACATTTTGAAATATAAACTGTAGGTTGGATTACAAACTGATTTACTCGGAACGGATGTATAAAAAACTAATTATTTTACCCAAGTCTAAATTGAACTGGCGCGGAGGAAGTTTCTCATAAACCACAGTCTCTTTGGCTGTGTAAAGCTCCCCAGACTTTTTTTCGGGACTGCAGTGGTTTGATAACAGTGGATTGGACGTCCTTAAAATAAGCGGAGCAGTCGCGGATGATGGAGGCGCCGAAGAATCTGCACAGTTGATAGATTTTGCGATTTCTTGAGGAGCCGTTTTATTAAGGGAAAGCATCTACAAGTGTTGATATGTTCAAGTTTGGAACTCACCGACGGCGTGTAATATTCCGG